GCCCCAAAAAGCTCCAAGACGGGCCAAGAGTGCCCCAAGAGGCCCCAAAGACAGTCCGAAAGAACCCCGAATCGCCGGACGATCTGTCCAAGACACCTTGACGGCCTCCAAACGGCCCAAGAAGCTCCCACGGGGCCCCCAAACTGCCCCCCAGAGGCCTGCGAGACCGCTCGGAAGAGACCCCAAGAATCACCCCTGAGGACTCATCCTTCGGGCTTCGGGCTTCCGTCAGCTCAAGACGGCCCAAGAAGCCTCCAAGATTGCCCAAAAGACAGCCCAATAGAGCCCCAAATTGCCCAGGAGGCCTCCAAGAGTGCCTCGAGATGGCGCAAGAGGAGCCCTGGACGGCACATGACGGCCTTCAGAGAACCCCAGGCTGTGCCAAGAAAACCTCTGGCCTCTTCCTTTTCCTCCTCCTCCTCCTCCTCCTCCTCCTCCTCCTCCTCCTCCTCCTCCTCCTCCTCCTCCTCCTCCTCCTCCTCCTCCTCCTCCTCCCCACCCCCCGTCTGCTCCCCCTCCTCCTGCTTTCCTCTGCCTCCTTCTCCTCTTCTTGTTTCTCCTCCACATCCTTCCCCCCTTCCTCCTCCCTCATCCACCTCCTCCACCCTTCCTCCACCTCCCACTCATCCTCCTCCCCCTGCCCCCCCCTCGTTTTCAGTTTCGTCGTTCTCAGGGTCGGCGGCACTGGACGTAAGGCCTTCGCAATAAGTTTTCATTTTCGCACCCCGAAACCAGTTTTTTTTCGCCTGAACCGTCCTCACATTTTGTGATTCGGAAACTCAAAAAAAACCGTTTCACATATGGAAGTCGGGTGGTTTTCAAAAACTGGTTCTCGCCCTCGCGCCGCGCACATTCGTTTAAACATTTGCAAAAACTTCACAGAATGAGGGCGGGTTGTTTTCAAAATGTGGCTGTCGCCTTCCGGCCGCGCGCACCCGTTTTATACAATTGCAAAAACTTCACAACATGAGGGCGGGTGGTTTTCAACATGTGGCTTTCGTTTTAGCGCCACGCGCAGCCGTTTTTCAACATTGCAAAAACTTCATGGGTTGATGGCGGGTGGTTTTCAAAATGTGGTTTTCGCCTTAGCGCCGCGCGCACTCCTTCTAAACATTTGTAAGAGTTTCACGGATTGAGGGCAGGTGGTTTTCAAAATGCAGCTCTCGCCTCAGCGCCGCGCGCATTCGTTTTCAAAGCTTGCAAGGGCTTCGCGGATTGAGGCCGGTTCCTTTTCAATGTGTGGCTCTCGCCCTAGCTCCGCGCACATTCGTTTTAACATGTTGCAAGAGCTTCACGGGTTCCCATGATCAAGGTACCAGAAACGGTGTTCGGGATGGATTCAGGATTATGCAGGCGCAGTGAAAATATTGGTTCGCGGTGTCGAAGTCACCAAAAAGCGTTTTAGCACGATTCCATGTCGGGGCGCAGCACTCAAGTTGATCCGCGGCGTGGAAATCCCGAAAACATTATTTTGGCACGCTTCAAGGTCTTCAAGCGGTTGTTTTTCAACGAAGCAGCTCCCTCGAAGGAAATGAACCGTTGTAGGGGCCTACCCCACGTGAAAAAAATGTCGAAGCAAAGTAGAACAGGGGTGGAGGCCGATACGATGTTGAATCAGACCAGGCGGGGCCAGTCGCATCAAGTGACATCCGCCTGTCAACGTTACGTAAAAACGTCATTGCGCGGTGAATGTAGCCATCCGACTGGTGGGAACGAAACCGCAAGGCAGAACGTGGAACCGCCCGCGCCAGGCGGCCCTGTGAAAGACGAACTTGGAAAAGCACCCAGGCATCAACTGGCGTCCGCCTCCCAATGTTGCCACCGGACGCAGCCAAAAGATGGCACATCAATGACCTGGCCCATGGTCCATGGTGCACGCCTGCGCACGCTGCCAACATTGAAAACCGAATCTCACTGAATAATCCTCTTTGGGCGTTGCCGTCTGCAGATCATTCGCGATTGTTGTCTTGTCGATGTTGTGAAAAACTTGTTTCCCGGCTGTGTGGATGTCGAACCTGTTTGGCGTGCTCCAATCGTTCTGGCGGCACGTGCCCTATAGCGTCGGCAACCTCTGCCGCTCGGGCAACTGGAATGGGAAGCGCGCGATCCCTGATACGTAAAATGATGCCAGACGGACGCCGTTGTCTGTCGTGGCTCCCCCAGTGGGTAGAGGGGGGGGCGCGAGGGAAAAAAACATGAAGATGCGAAGGAGGAGGAAAAGAGGACGGGGGAGGAGCACGAGGATTAGGAGGAGGCGAGTGAGGACGCTGATGATGACTTGGCGGAAGAGCGAGAGCTAAGAAGTAGCCGGCGATGTGGCGAGAACGCATGTCGCTTTCGTCGTGGTCGCCGTGGTCGCCGTCGTCCACGTGGTCGCCGTCGTCGTCGTCGTCGCCGTCGTCGTCGTCGTCCGGGGCACGCCGCTCTACGCGAAATGCCTTCTGTGCATGAATTTACACGCGAAGCCCGCGCCCGCCCGATCGCCATGTGGGATTGCTGG